TTTACCATAACTCTAAAGGATGGTAAGTTATATTTACCATAACTCTAAAGGATGGTAAGTTATAGGTAAGTTATATTTACAATAACTCTAAAGGACGGTAAGTTGAAGCAACTTTTACTGAAGCGTAGATGAGTAAGCAGTTTAATTAACAACGAAAATATGTTGGATCAGGAAGAGATTTAATCCACAACCTATTGAAGACGTCTTGCAGGAAGAGGTCTTAAAAATGAAAGAGTTGGAGAATAAAGTGATTAACTACAGACAAATTAAACCATAAGGAGTTTCAGTAACGATAAATTAATCGGAAGAAGAGTTACATCAGGAATGAATTTTACCTGTAAGATACATCCTCGGTAATCTTCATGGAAGACCAACTGTTGCTGATAAAGAGGATCTAAGGTTCTTCTGGCTATTGAGGTTCTTGCCTTCGCGATGCACTTTCGTCCATGAACTAAATAGACTTTGACGTATGGTGCTGTAGAAAAAAGTTACACGCTGTGTATAACGTACGAATCCTAAATCCTAAAGGAATCATTTCTATAAAACATCTAAATGTCCACAAAAACACAGAACATCTAAACCTAAACAAAAAACGCTTACAAAAAAAAACTACTTTGTTTTGTATAGATGCTTATTGGAAACGACATTTTTCTGTTATTTGGTTTCCTTTTTCGTGCCCTACATGACTCAGTCGTAAGTCTGCAGGGTTACAATTCTAGAAACCGGGTTTCAGTACCCATGATGAGCAGAGCACAGATAGTCCATTGTGTAGTTTTGTGCTTAACTACGATCAAACGAAAACCTTATTCGCGGGTATTACATTTCACGATGATCAAAATGTGTCATCAGTAAGCATCACATATTTTCCCTTTGTTTCTGCTGTAGTTCGATCTAATAAAATCATCAATGTTTACTAAAATCATAGTTTTCAATGTTTTGTTGCTGTTGAAGAAATCAATGCAGCTGTAACCTGTTAATGAAGTCTATTTCTGTCACATTAATAGTATGCAGGTACACTGGAAGTTTTACATGTTCTTTATCTAGTAACCTGAACACTTAAATGCTAAGGAATTTTTTCAACATTTCCATATATAACTGTGTATGAATATTTACAAGTAGGACATTACAGTCAATGAATGTCGTTAAATTCTTTTTATCCTAGTTACCTATTTTTCTGGGTCATTCACCTATGGTATCACGTGTGCTTTCTCGTGGGAGAGATTGCTGTGAAGCAGAACACATGTGAAAATGGGTAGTGATTTTTCCCACTGACAGGTTAAGTGATACCTACAGGTTTCCTTATTTTTCTATTAGAATGTGAAATAGTAACGTGGGTAGCGCATATGCCACGAGAAGAATAACATTCGTATATAATGCTGTGTTTTATCAGTCTGAGACAAGTTCTCTAGAGAGCTCCTATAAGATACCTCCAGTAAAAGCGCCATTTTCGGTCCAACAAACTCGTCACTTTGATTGTTTCAAGTGTTGAATAAAGATTACTTTGACCTTGTTCATATTTTATTTGGTCTCTTTCTTCCAACTCATTCAAAGTTAGAGAATTCAGTAATACACGTTCTTTTCTAACCTCTTATTATTAGTGGGTTCTACCATTGTTGCCGAGGAAAACTGGTTATTTAGAATTACCATATTTATCTAAATTTTGTGTACGATTATGAAAAGTAATAAATAATAAACAATATTTTTGACCTACCCTATTTCTACCAGGTTTTCACTTTGTTAAATTACGCAGATTTTGTTTCATCATACATACACAATTCTATAATAATTTGAATTATTCTCTTTTGTTCTTTAGATTGAGTTCAGTCATTTCATACGAAGCAGTAACCATTTCAAAGCTAACGATGCTCATCCATTGTTAAGTCTGTGTAATTTAACACGTTAAATGTTGGTTAAATATGTGCAAACTGAAGTGGAAACTATTTCCTATCTGTCATATGAGCAGTTCGGTTGATCAATAGCAACGTTGGCCTATAATATGGAAGCTCGAAACCAGTACGCCAAGAAGGGCTAAGCCTATATAATGACGGTTTGAAACCGGTATTGCTAACCGCACTGGATATTGATGCGACCATTCTGTTTAACCCTATCACGACAGGAACCTGTATTTTACAGAACCTTGTAACCACCGTGTAACCATGGTATACATACTATAACTCTGAAATTACTTACTGTATCTTCATGAAATTTGGCAAGCTTTCAGTAAACTTCAAAAGTCTTTGGTATACAAAAAAATCAGAATTTTTAATAAAGTATTTTTACTAAAACTTTGTTTAATTATATGGTGTGAGAATGTTGACTGTTCCCAATCCAAAGTGAATTTCATATTAAGAATGTTGACTGTTCCCAGTCCAAAGTGAATTTCATATTAAGATTAAGAAAGCAGATACTCAGGTTTTAAAAAACACACTTACAAAATTTAAGCAGTTAATATCTATGGAATTAATGTAAGAATATCAGAAACTCTGGCCATCAAAAAACTCAAACCAAAGTTTAATTATAAATGGTCAGCAATTGGAATCCGTCTAAGGAATTAGCTGCTAGAACTTAGCCAAAAGACAAAGTATGAATTCCTAACATCATTCATATGCGTAATATGTTAAATATCCATAAGGAAAGTCGTTTTATTCTGAGTTGAATACTTAAATGAGATAGCGAAATCCAGTAGTTGGAATTTAGGCTTATTGGGTGTGGTGTTCAAGAGGATTTTTTTCTTTGGCAGGAAATTAGGTATGAAACCGGAGATGAACCTCTGGTTGAATGGAGAATATTAGACTAAGATCATCACGAACGGATCCTGTATCATCAATCTGGATTTTAGGTAACTCTGGCAATGCCAACTGGTTCCGTGAAGACCTTAAGAATTATGTAGATCGTTAAATGGGACTATTCAGTGTGATATCGGTGAAAATCGTAAACTATTAATCTAAATAAAATTATTTGCTATATTTTAAAATTTCCAACTAAAACTATTCGGATACACATTTCCAGTTACATGGCTATGGTTACGAAAAGCATCTTTGGTTTCAAACTCGAACAGGCCTACACCGTCACTTCGGACTAATTCGAGTTATAAAACAAATGTGTAGTTTGTGGAACTGATTATACTTTTGATAATAGCCACAGTAACACAGCCTTCGATATTAGAAGGTCATACATTAATGAATTAATATAAAATGATGACATGTAATACATTGTTTGTTATAATGCAAAGCCACGTTGGGCTATCTGCTGTGTCCACCGCGAGGAATCAAACCCCGGATTGTATCGTTGTAACCCCGTAGACTTACAGCTGTCCCATCGAGGGACAATATATCGACAAAGATGAAGTTGAAATGACTTGCAAGAGACAAAAGTTACATTATGTTCTTGTTTAATATCCCGAATACTTGAATGTGAAGTCCTCATCTTAAAACAGCCTTCCTGCCCATGCGACATCTATGATAAAATACAATATTTTTGGTTTAAAAAAATATTTTTTTTCACAAATACTTCTAATATCTGAAGAAATAAAACTGATGAAGGGGGGGGGGGAATCTGTCATATGGCATGGTATTACTTTTATTTGATGACAGATTTGGTAAAAGATTAAGTAGTTAATATGGATATTACACATCGTTTTGAAATCATTTTTGAACAATCAGTTTTCCATACACCTTATTTACGACATCACAATGTACTCGTAAAATCGTACGTCATTTGCCAGAAAAATGTAACTATTGGCTTAATACCTTTAATTATATGATTAAAATTTTTTATTGTTAAGATAGCTTATTATTCCTTTCTTAATTCGTAAAATAAATATTTGATGACAGCCGCAGTACCAAAACCTCGGACAGATATCGTGCAATAATAAAACAAAGGTTGCAGTTCATAAACTACTCACCTGGTAACAGTTTAGCTCCTACTCTTGGCTGCAATTCTCTTGCACGTATAACCTCGATCTCAAGGTTCCCTTTCCGATCACAAAGGCTAAGCTGAATATCTCCTAAGCTTGGGGAAGCCAGCGCTTGTCGACCAACAAGCTGACCTGGTCCTAGTCCTTCCACAAAGTGTGAGTACTCTCCATCTGGTGTCAGTCTGAGAGATGGGAACCACCTAGTGTACGAATTTAAAACTATCTTCGAT